CAGTGCCAGAGCCACTCCCATCTTCAGTTATAGTTATAGATGCTAGGATGCCGCCCAAACTGTTATCTGCTTGGAGAACAGTTTCATTCATGTATTTTCCTGAATTAAATTACTGCCAGTGGCAAACTATAAGTCTGTAAAGTAGTTCTAGGCAAAAATGTACAGAGAATGCTCAGCCTTCCATTTAACAATAGTAGTGCTAGGATTAACTAAAATATTTTCTAACGTGCACTTGGTGAGTACATTAGAGCAGCTGCAAATACTGAAAAGCATATTTTGTTTATGTATTTTTAATAACTTTTAATGTATTTTCATGTTTTAATGCATTATCTAAATAATGGATTAAAGTGTGCAAACTTTGTGTTGTTCCTCTAAACCATACTGCAGGTTATCAGGAAAAGCGTCAATTACAGCGACTTTTTTTGCATTTGTTACACATTACCATGCTATATTAAACTCTATCCAATATAAAAACCCATCAGATCTCTGATGTATCAAGTTAGGACAATGAAAAATTACTTGGAATGCTGCTTCAAATAATGTGTGATAATGTGTTATCATTCATTTTAATTGACAGCAGTCAGAAAATCCTATAATTTTTTTTCATAATTAGAATTAAATTACAAGGAACAATATATTAACATGTTGGAGATTTTTTGTATGTTCTTTGTGTGTATTTTTGTGCGGATTTAGGTTATGCACAGATTTTAACAGGTACAGGTTAAAAATAAACTTTAAGTACATTTTAAGAATATATCCTATCATATGTTTTTATTCAAAGCTGCTCAAACTAAAAGTGGTAACTGAGCAAATAAATACTATATGAACATGTTGGTATAATTTTTGATGGAGGTTTACTAAATATAGGTATATGTCAGATCTTTCATTGTTTTCTGGCTCTCTTCCTTGAAAATTAAAATTAAAGCAAACTTGTCTCTGTTTTGGTTAAATTAATTTGCCAATATAGTAATATTATGTGACACATTTGTACCGGTATTACCAATGTCTAATGACTGAATAAAAATTGCATTATCAGCTTCCATATATTAACTCTATTTTTCTTAATCATATAATAATAGGCTCCAACTATTGACATCCGTCCACGTTCAGCTACAATTCAGATGAACAATGCCACACATCTTCAAGAGAGAGATGAAGAATATGGATATGAATGCCTAGATGGTAAAGATTGTGCCAGTTTCTTCTGCTGTTTTGAGGATTGCCGAACCGGCGCATGGAGACATGGAAGAATACATATTCGTGTTGCAAAAATTGACTCCTACTCAAGGATTTTCTTCCCAACTGCCTTTTGCTTGTTTAATTTGGTGTATTGGGTATCATACCTCTACCTTTAAAAGATATAAAATAAAATCATGAATATAGATAAGTGACATGGGCCTTATAAAATATACATCATTTTGTTTATCAAATCATTTTGTGACACACATTTTATCTGATGTTTCAATGTGTAGTGTGCCATAGCTTAGTATTACACTGATGCTGAATAAAAAATGGTTTACAGTCAGATTTGAGAAAAAGAAAAGTTAATTATACAATAGTGTGTTAAGCCATAGGAATATAAAGGTTTATACGTATTAAAGGATTCAGTTATCTTTATAAGGGATGAGTGATTATGATAATCTGTCAGTGCTGTGTAAGCATACTGCTCTTTTTTGCAACTTTTGTTTTCTATCTCTTGTCTGTATTTGACATTTAAGCAAATTTTCTCACATGTCTACAGATTTAAAGCAAGATAAACAAATTTACACCTTTTATAAAATGGTAAAAACTTCTCACCATTTAGGTAACAAGCACATGTATACAATCATGTAAATATTTTGCTAAAAAAACATGTAGTATATAGAAGATTAAATGCATGCATCCATTAATGCCAACATACAGCCAAGGTACCTTACCATATAGTGTTATACATTTTACATGTCACCCTGTGTTGTTTTAGGTATAATGATGGATTTAATTCATCATTTTCTATTCAACCTTGACTACCTATGCTGTCATGCATGAACTATTTCATACTGCTCTTTCAAGATAACTATTGTATATGCCTTAAGGATATGAAATTTGAAAGCAATCTGCTTTTTCACAAACTCTCCAATTCAGTGTTTTAGAAAATTCAGCCAAAGGGAGCAATCAGGCAGCAGAAACAAACTGTACAAGTCTGCTCAGCTTTTCTCCTATATATTTTGATTTTCCCTGCTTCCATTTGCTTTTACATACATATGCCTTTTATGTATTCAGAGTTATATTCAGGTCACAACACTCTATGATCACAATAAGTGCAGTTAATTTATAATGTTACTTAAGACTAGTCATACTAAGCATTATGTAATTTAATTTTCATAAATAGAAACATTCGTTTTAGATATTACAAATAAAATAAGCATTAAAAAAGTTCAAACACTTCTTTGTAATAGGGACGATTAACCCAAAAGTAAATAATCATGTTGAAAAAAAATCTGAATAATATTACTTATGTAGCTTTTTATGGATGTATGATCTATTGCAATTGAGTGGGATTTTTGCGTTTGACTTTGCAATGTCTGACAAAGTGCTGCATCTATTAGCTAATTATGTGATATTATTCACACTGTTACACCATGTTTTAATATTTTTTGTTTAATAAAAGAAAATATCTTAAAATAATGTTAGAAAAGGCAAGTTAGTTTCAAAGTCACTTTGTTGGCTTAGTAAGAGGTGTTAACCACTGCAGATTAATGCAAAAGTGATGGTGCATGTATTCTTTTGGGTGCCACACTAAATTTTCTGTCAAATAATTTTTAGGCAAATTAAAAACCACATGAGCTATTATGCCCCTTTTTCTGCCACTCACATAATGTAGGGGTTCCTCTTGAGTAAGGTTAAAGGCTACCCTCTGTGATACATTTGTAAAGCTCAGATTTATATCTTGTGAGTGCCAAGATGCCCTATAGCAAGGTAGCACTTATAGTGTGCTGGGTCCTAAAAACTGAGAAAGTCATGAAGCACAATGTGGCAGAATAGGAGATGGCGAATTTATGAAGATGGCCACTTTATTAGCAATAGGGAAGTAATCTTGGAATAGTTGTTACAGTCTTTTGTATAGGTCAGTTTCACTAATAAACACCTCTCATTCAGTGTCACCGGAATCCTGATAAATTGAAAAGACAAAATATACGTTTGCTAGTATATCAGAAATCCTGGAATATTTTCAAATTTTCTTGCTAGAGAGTCCTCCAGTAAGGAGACACATTGGCTGTAAGATTTCAACACCCACCCCATAAGTACACTTTTCATTATAATTGCTGATACTTGTTTTATTAAAGGATCACTATAGGGTCAGGAACACAAACATGTATTCCTGACCCTATAGTGTTAACACCACCATCTAGCCCCCCTGGGCCCCTCATGGCTAAATAAATATATTACAAATCTTACTGTTTTCAAGCCTGAAGATGTAACTCTGCATGCTGTTAGACTCAGAAAATCAAGCAGTCTGCTGACATGTGGTAGCCTGATCCAATCACAGTGCTTCCCCATAGGATTGGCTGAGACTGACAAAGAGGCAGATCAGGGGCAGTGCCAGCATGATTCAAATACAGCCCTGGCCAATCAGCATCTCCTCATAGAGACGAATTGAATCAATGAATCTCTATGAGGAAAGTTCAGTGTCTGCATGCAGAGGGAGGAGATACTGAATCACAGGATGCTGTGCACAGTGCTGCTCTGTGCTCTGCTGTCAGCAGATCTGAGTGGATGGAGGCATATTATGCCTCCATCAACTCTGAAGTCCCTCTGGTTCACTCTGTTGAGTGACTGCAACAAGAGGTGTTCCTAGCTTTCAATGTAAACACTGTATTTTGTCAGAAAATACAGTGTTTACATGAGAAAGGCTGCAGGGAGCTATAGTTCTCACCTGAATAACCTCATTAAGCTGAAGTTGTTCAGGTGACTATAGTGTCCCTTTAACAATGACTGATATCATAGGATTAAGGACAAATCTTAAACACAATGGAGATAAATCGTTGGAAATATATGAGTGGTTTCAGATTTAATATAAACACATGTTACACTTAGTAATCTCTTTACTTACCTCCTACATTCTTTTCTGAATAATATTTTTGTAAAGCTGTAACTAATTTGGTGCTTATATCACCAAAAGTGTATGTTTGGCAACATTACATAGCAAAATTGCAACCATATGCATACTCATTACCATATGACTCCTTGATGTAGTGACTGATGTAAAAAAATCTACTAATCTATGTTAAGAATTACATTTGTTTTTTAGCTGAAATACCAATGTTAAAAGTTAAAACTGGAAATCAGCATATTTTATATTATATTATTGCACTAAACTAAATAAAAAAACACGATATTCATATAGTTTTATCAATACTAAATATATAAGTAGTAAACTAAATAGTGCATTTAGAGAGTTTATTCATTAAATAGTAAGTTGTGAATTGCTGTCAAACTAGAACTGAATAACAAAATCTAATATAAAATTATAAAGATGTGTAAATTACAATTTACCAGCGCAGGAGAAAATTTCCCATTTTAACTTGTTCTAAATTTTGCAAGTGATTTCACCTGAATTCACTGCAAATCGCAATGCTTATAAAACAGACCATTTTGCCTTTAAAAGAATGCAGTTTTTGATTTCTAGGGATTCAGTGTGTTTTGTTTAAATAGTATTAACAAGTAGTAGTTATTCATTACGTAGTATGTGCTGTGTTATTATTACTTTATTATTATTTAAGTTTCAACTGATGATCCTGATAAACAGGATAAGTGTTGTGAGTAGTGATGTCCCAAACGGTTCGCTACTGATGGCGAACATATGCGCTGTTCGGTCCGCCCTCTATTCATCATCATTGAGTAAACTTTGACCCTGTACCTCACAGTCAGCAGACACATTCCAGCCAATCAGCAGCAGACCCTCCCTCCCAGACCCTCCCACCTCCTGGACAGCTCACTAAGAATGCAGCTTCACAATGAATGTAAAATGGATGCTGTCCAGGAGGTGGGAGGGTCTGGGAGGGAGGGTCTGCTGCTGATTGGCTGGAATGTGTCTGCTGACTGTGAGGTACAGGGTCAAAGTTTACTCAATGATGACATAGGGGGCGGACCGAACAGCGCATATGTTCGCCGTCTGTGGCGAACCGTTCGGGACATCACTAGTTGTGAGCATCAAATCCATTATAGAATATTTATCTTTTAGAGAAACATCTGATTTAAAGGAGAACAATTTACTGCAGGAATGCTAATATTGTGAAAAAAAAATCTGTTAAACTGTTATTTATCCTATGATTCCTAAGAACATTTGAAGCTTTGCTTGCCTTCTGCAGAGCGTGATGCTTGTGCAAGGCATAATGCCTTGATAAACTTGTACCAATACAATTTCTCTGATTTTTGTTTTAATGATCAGAGAAATACTATAATGTAAAAACTTTTGTTTTTTCATTCCCATGATAAAATGTCCTTTTATTTGTTTGTTGTAAATAAAAATGTTACATGTAAACATATGTTGAGGATTTGAATATTAATGAAATCTTTTATGAAAAAAATGATAATCGCAAAACGTAAACTTATGGTCAGTGTTAGTTCTGTGTTGTATGTGACGTTTATGACTTTTTGGTGTAAAAAGAGCAATATTATGAAATGCTGCTTTATGTTTTAATGCACATTAATAAAACACATCAATGTATAAATTTTGTTATATTGTAGATATCTCTAAAGTTATGTTAGGGGATCACAACTGTTTCCTTAAATTGATTGTCATTCTATAACTAATAGTAACATATTTCCATTTTGTCTGAGTTATTTTTCCAACAATATTTAGAATATATAGTAGTCATATCGGTCCTCTCAAACTTGCCTTTTTCTACTGTTTCCCCTTTTCTTCCTCTTACAGTAACTATTCTTCTTTTCTTCATTCCTGATCTATTTTTCTTTAAAACATAAAACAAAGTAGGGAATCTTTTGTCTTATGTATTTTTCCTACGCTTGATAAATGTTGAAAAAAAGGTGAAGATAGTAGAGCTTGCCTTAATCTCCACCTTTGTCAGGATTGTCAAGCATAGGAAACATACATAAGACAAATTATCCCTACTTTGGCTTATGTTTTAAAGAAAAATAGATCAACAACAAAAAGAGAAAGAAAGGGCAAAGCAATAGAAAAAAGGTTACATTTAGGTGGCAGAACCATTTTAACAGAACGTTTTTAAGAAGCACCTATGACCCAAGCACCTGTCATGTAATGTATTTATTAGTAGACCAATCACAGTTCACAATATAAATAAATAAGATTACATTTTAAAGAGCAGGTGGCATATCAGTTTTTACATTTACCAAATGTACATACAACTTTCTTTAAGTAAAACAAAGTTTACAACTATTTGACTTGCCATTGTTTTAAAAAGATGAACATGTATTTTGCCCTGAGTCACAGTTTATATATAACCTGTTTATTTCATGATATTAATCATGAAAGAGATACATTTAAAAACAAAATAATTCAGTTTATTTTGGCATGTCAGATCAAGTGTAAAAATATCAGTGTAGCATTTTGTATACAATGTTATTTCTGTATATTCTTTCTACAAATTACACAGACACCTTTTTTTAGATAATACATAGTTTACAGAAAATGTGAATATAAAAATGTAAATTGTTTAATAAACATACATGTTTACTACAGAAATGAGTTTACTAAACATTATATTTATGCAAATAAACATTGTACCTTGTTCTGCCAGTTATATTACATAGCCAAGAGAGTTGTCCGATTTTTAAAACCTTTTATAAAGTATTTACATGCAAAATTTAGTTTTACTCATGTATGTAAGTGCTTAGTATTTTGTAAAATATACTTCATTACATTGGATACCATGAATAGTGAGGTAAGGGGAGATGACAACTGACAAACAAAATAACCATGATAATAAATAATGAAACCCAAAAAACACTAGCAAATTCTGTTATCAGCAAATCTTGTAAAATTAGATTTTTTTTGTTGATAGAATAATATGTAAATGAATGGGCCTCCAGTCTTCTAAACTTCTATACTTGACAGACAACATTCTATCTAATGATAATTCATTAGTAGTATAACCCTATTGGAGATATTTGATTGTTTTAGCATACAAAGCTACGGAAAATGCTGGCGCTTTATAAATAATAAAATAATAAATAATAACAATAAGGCATTTTATCTTTTAGGGTTGTAGTGTTTTTTTGAGTAGGCTTAGTGGTTATTTTTCTTTTGTTTTTTTAACTAATCAAGTATATTGCCATTTTAAAGTTCTGCAGGCCGATGTTAACCATCCAAGATAAAACCTACTGAAAAATTAGACCAAAGTAATTAAGTTTGGAAAATCCATCTTTTGTTTTAAATCTCAAGTCATTTAGTTACTAAATTAAATCTACTTTTACCTTACCGTTACTTACTTTTTACTGAATAAAAGCCTTTGCATTCAATACAAATATATAGTAACTTTACTGAACTAATTCCTTTTTCAGTGACTGAATCTTTTAAAATGGAAATTTAAAAGATTATCATAGAAATATTATTCTAGCAATATATACTAGGGTTTGATTAAACCTCCTTTTAACCAGCTCTATAGACATTACAATACATAAAACTTTAAATTATGTTATGATAAAACTAACCAACTATAAGAAAAAAGAATAATTTTGAAGAAAAAAATGGGTTTTGTTTTTAATTGTAAAACATATAGACTTCAGGGCTATACATTAAGTATTTACAGCAGGGGTATCCAACACGTAGAACTCCAGATCTTGTAGAAATACAATTCGCATGATGACAGCAGGGATGTCCAAAAGTAGACCCCCAGATATTGTAGCTATGCAACTCCCATAATGCTTGCATTAAAAGAACACTTATTTTTCAAACATTTAACCCCTTCAAGACGGAGTCAATAGTGTACGTTCTGATCAAAACTAAAAGTAAACAAAAACTGGAATTTGCGCCAAATGTCTGTTCAACCGTAATTCACCGCTGTCACATTAAGTGCACCCACACTTATTATATATAATTTTGTTCAGGAGAAACAGGGCTTTAATTTATCATTAACTATTCATATATGGAACATAATTTATTATGAATAAAATTTAAAGAAATCTGAGAAAATAAGATTTTTTTTCCGTCTGACATTTTAGCTGTGAATGTCATAATACTGTTAGGTTTTACTGCAAAAAAATTGCACATATTTGTAATCAGCAATGTCTCACGAGTACAACAGTACCCCCCATTAACAGGTTTTATGGTGTTTTGGAAAGTTACAGGGTCAAATATAGAATGTCCCATTTTCATATTGAAATTTGCCAGATTAGTAATGTTACCTTTGAAATGGTGTGGTAGCTCAGGAATGAGAATTACCCCCATAATGGCATACCATTTAAAAAAGTAGACAACCCAATGTATTGAAAGTGGGGTATGTTTAGTCTTTTTTAGTAGCCACTTAGTCACAAACACTGGCCAAAGTTAGCGTTCAGATTTGTTTTTGTGTGAAAAAAGCAAAAAATTTATATTTGGCCAGTGTTTGTAACTAAGTAGCTACTAAGAAAGACTGGACATACCCCACTTGCAATACCTTGGGTTGTCTACTTTTGCAAATGGTATGCCATCATGGGGGTAATTCTCATTCTTGGGCTACCATACGCTCTATGTCATTCTAAGTATATTTTAATACTAATATATGTACTTATATTAATATTAAAATACACTACGTATGATGTTACATATATATAATATATATACATATATATATATATTATATATAATATATATACATATATTATATATATAAATACATTTCTATTTTATTTTAAAACCTGTTTAATAAAAAAAATTTATACTTCCAACCAGCTGGGGGACTGTCTGACATTTCAGATAGTGCCCCTGCTGGCAGATCCACAGCCAGCTATAGGGGGCCATGTGAACGCTCTTTGAGAGCGATCACATGGCTCCCGGGGGCCTCATTTGCCAGGGGAGGGCTGCCTTGGCTGTCAGGCAGCCCTCCAGAAGAGGATCGCATTGGAGGTGAGTACCGTGGACCTCCAGGGGCTCAAAGCCGTTACGGCGTTCTATGCTTTTATTCTTTAAAGCCTACTTAATGCGGGACGGCATAGAATGCCGTAACGGCGTTAACGGGTCAATAGACATACCCACCAAGTAAATAAACATTTAATATTTTTGTAAATATTATTTTGGGGAAGTATGAAAAATTTAAGCTACCTGCAGACCTTCTGCCTTGCACAGACTTTCCAGTCTATGCTAGACATGATCCAGTCAGAAGCTTCTAGTCAGAAATCTTGCACCTGTGTTTAATTTCATACACTTCTCAAGCTGCCACAGTGCTTCACTTATACTTTGCAGAGCAAGTGACACAGGGAACCTTTACTGACAGCCAGGAAGGTGTGACAAAGGTATTTTATAAAATTGTAGATTTCTCAACACTTTTATATAATAGGCCTGCAGGAACAGACAGTTTAACACAAAAGTACTTCAGCAAGAGTACTCTTTTAAACATAGCATAATAGGAGTTGTATTTCTACAGTAGTGATATTCTTTTACAAATAAAATATTGTAATTGGTATTGATAGATGAATCCAAAAAACCATAAAATAGTTGACTTTTTGATCAATAATTTCTCATCCATTCATTTGATTTTGTAATTCATCAGTATTATGTGTATGACCATAACATTTTGAAATATTTCTTTAAAAAAAAGTTAGTTCTTCTAAGGCTTTGAATAATATATGAGGTAAAATCATTTATCCTTTTGTAACATCAACAGACAGTTATTTGGTGACTAGTAAATATGTGATGCACTGATAAATTGAGAAAATAAAACTGAACTGTCTGATTTAACTTTGATAAGAAGTATTTGGTATTTTTGCTACAGTTTCTATAATTTGAAGAATCCATATACATATCATTACAATAAAATTACAGTATTACAATTAAATTAATTATAAATTATTCATACATTTCTTGTTGTCTATGTAAATTAACATTTCAGAAACTGCACATACTTGTGGACCTTTTCAATAAAACTGCTGCACTCCTGTTTCTTGTTCTGCTTCTTCTTAAGGTAGTAGTGTACTAAATACCATTCTCAATGTTAAACACACAGGTGAGAAAACCATTTGATGAATGTTTAAATACAAGACAGATGATTTTTAAGAGAGGTTATGACAATGCTGGCAAAAATTATAATGGCATTAGACAATGGAAATGACCACACTGGCTTGACTATCCACTTAATTACAATCTTTATCATTTTGACTTATTGCACCCAAATTAACCCAAGTGAAGGAGGGTCAGCTATACTTGGGAGAATGTATAAAAAGATGGTTGTCAGAGACCTGAAATTATAACATCTGATAGAGGCTTATAACTAACTTTAAATGATTTACAAAATACAAAGAAGAGGTAGAACTCAGCTAAAGCGCAAGGGGTGGAGATGGGGATGATGATAAATTCAGACGCGAGAATTTAGGGTGTTTTTTCATATACACCATATACATCATGTGTTCATAAACACACATCATTTCATCATATCAACTGATAGAACATTAAAATGCTACCCTTAAGTACATAGAATGAGCACACCCCTCACATTTTTGTAAATATTTTATTATATCCTTTCATGTGACAACACTGAAGAAATGACAGTCTGCTACAATGTAAAGTAATAAGTGTACAGCCTGTATAACAGTGTAAATTTGCATTCCCATCAAAATAACTCAACACAAAGCCATTAATGTCTAAACCATTGGCAAATAAAAAATGAGTACATTCCTAAGTGGAAATGTCCAAATTGGACCCAAAGTGTCCATATTTTGTGTGGCCACCATTATTTTCAAGCACTGCCTTAACCCTCATAGGCATGGAGTTCACCAGAGCTTCACAGGTTGCCACTGGAGTCCTCTTCCACTCCTCCTTGATGACATCACGGAGCTGGTGGATGTTAGAGACCTTGCGCTCCCCCACCTTCCATTTGAGGATGCTCCACATATGCTCAATAGGGTTTAGGTCTGGAGACATGCTTGGCCAGTCCATCACCTTTACTTTCAGCTTCTTTAGCAAGACAGTGGTTGTCTTGGAGGTGTGTTTGGGGTTGTTATCATATTGGTATACTGCCCTGCGGCCCAGTCTCCAAAGGCAGGGGATCATGCTCTGCTTCAGTATATCATAGTACATGTTTGCATTCATGGTTCCCTCAATGAACTGTAGCTCCCTAGTGCTGGAACCACCTGTAGGCAAGACACACTTGTCTTTGTACTCCTCATCTGGTTATCGCCACACACGCTTGACACCATCTGGACCAAATAAGTTTATCTTGGTCTCATTGGACCACAGGACATGGTTAATACACTATGGACATTAATCCATGTCCTAAGTCTACTTGTCATCAGAAAACTGTTTGCTGGCTTTTCTTGTGCATCATCTTTAGAAAATGCTCCTGTGGCAGACCGCCTGGTACCTGGAGTAACATAAGCACTTCGCTGGGACACCATAAGCACTTCCAGCCCCTAGCCGCCACAGCTTGGCTGGGGTCTCGTCTCCTCTTTCCACCCTGGACCCAAGCCCTGGACCCAGCTCCCAGTGGTTAGTGTCTCCTCCAGAGAGTATAGCAGGTATAGCAAGTAAATAGAGCAGTATAGCTGGTCCCCCACAAATTAGCCGAGACTTAATGCTGGGAGTAGACTCTCTTTATTCAGGGGGTTTCCATCACAAACATACAGGGTCTTTTCTACCAAGATCCTCTGTGCCTGAGAGATAATAGCATGAGGAAACCACTTTAATTTAATTATTCCTCAGGTACAGGAAAATCTGCAATAGTTCCAAACACACCAACACACACCAACAGTTCCCAACACATTTTAATATTTCAAAAGGGGTTAATTGATTGCATGGAAGGTCAGAGCATTCAACCCAAATTCATCTTTGAAGCTGGGACCCCAACAGAGCCACTCTGTCAGGTGTGAGAAGTTACACACAAATGGCCTGGAAGTCTGTCTTCAGCACAAAATAACTCTCCCATTTGACATATGTCTTGATTGCCTCTTAGATATGAAGTCCTTTACTTGTTAATGATCATTAGCTTTCAAGAACAAAAAGAAACCCTTTGTGTCTCAATATCATATCCAAAAGAGATATTAATACCCACCCACAGATCAATACTCAAGCCTCATTTTTATCATATTTAGAATGGGACAAGCACAATCTTCCAATCAAGCCGAAACATGAATTGTGAACAAGGGGAGATCCCCATCATGATGACCTGACAACAATACAGGCGAACGAGTGGGCACATGTGGGCATTGTACTCAGTGACAAGCACAATCTTCCAATCAAGCCCAAACATGATTTGCCAGCATGATGACCTAAAAACAATAAGCAGGCAAGCGAGTGGGCACATGTGGGCATGGTACTCATTTCCCAGTGTTGGAACCAAAGAAAATCTAGGTTATCACTTTTCTTGTAAACTTCCTAGCCCTTTTACCCTCCCCCTCCCCACCCCCCCCAGCTTCATAAACTTCTGACTTAATTTCTGGGAAGTGACTGCAAGGGAGCAAGAAAGATGATTTCAGACAAAAGGAATCAGGAAATGTTTTGGCCATGTGTCTCAAGGGTGGATTCAGAAACTAAAATAAAGAGGGACAATAGAAGATGATTTTACTGCAGTGTGGGATATAAACATATAACAATGAATGTATCTTTACAATAGCACCTGTAAACGGGCGTGCTATATTACACAGCAAATGGACAGTCACTTCTTGAAATGAATGTGTTGGAATTAGGAAAAATGAACAAGTGAAAAGATCTGAGTGACCAATACCTAGCATAGGTATCGCCACTATTCCTTCCTTGTAGCTGAACAAAACAGTATAACATTCCAAGACCCTTTCCTCCCAGTAACTGGACGACACATAGTTCTGGGAGTCAACTGATTTTATTTTGGCCACACACGCCATTTATGCATAGACCCCTACATGGGGTCTCCCACACAATAATACATGGCTTTCCTTCCCAGGATCCTCTGTGCCTGAGAGATAATTGCGTGAGAAAAAGCAATAACTCAATTATCTCTCAGGTACAGAAAAATATACAATATTCTAAAATACCCCCAAAATACATTTTAATAACTTCAGAACCCCACCAAATAGTCTGCCACAACATCAATGTACCCCATTCTTTGCAGGTCCTACTCTAGAAAGCTAATGACTCCTGTTATGAGATTAACCCACTTACTTGGGAAATGCTTCTTCCTGGGACTCTCTGCAGGTCAAGATTTAAAAGGGCCCTTGACAGGAAGGGGTGCAAAACTGGGAGTTGGCCTGGACTCATTTGGCCCCAGCAACACCCTATAATGTATGCATGTTCAGGTGAGGGCAGCCTCTTCGTTTCATATATATCATAGATCTTGAACAAGACCCTTAGGGATAAAAACATTGATCATATTACGGATGTTATTTTTTATCACTATCACTAAAATCCCTATTTACATTCACAGGACCTGAGAGTGCACCCCTGATATTATATAAATATATATGCAACGCGGGTAGCACCTAGGCGAAATTTACTAAGTAAGAGACCAGGAGAGTGCCAAGCTGACTTTATATATATATTTATGGTCAGGGCAATATTTGCAGTGATAGTAAGATAATACATGATACTTATATAATATAACAATAGATAGTGACACCAGTCGGTTGTGGTGTGCCAGAACCAACAAGGCAGTAGGCCTGTAATAAAGAGGGCTCACCTTAGAGAGTGATGTGAGGAAAGGGAGTGGTGGGAGGGGTCACTCGCCAGACCAACAATGGAAGAGTGGGAGAGGATTGGTAACCATTATGTAGGGGACCCATGCCCCTCCCACAACTACAGGCCCAAACTTAAATTTGTGGTCAGGGCAATATTTGCCGTGATGGTAAGATAACACATGATACTAACATAATATAACAATAGATAGTGACACCAGTCAATTGTGGTGTGCCAGAACCAACAACCCAATAGTCCTGTAATAAAGAGGGCAGAAAGAAAGTGTACCATACATCAAAATGTCTGGTGGCCACAACCCATGCGAGTCTCCGCAAAAACCTCATGATTACTAAGGAGGAGGAGCAGCCTGTATTGACAATGTGGCAAGTGGCAAGGTCATCAGGAAAGCACCGGACGGAGTGACCCATCCAGTTAGTCAGGCAATAGCAGTGGCCACAATGGAGTAGAGTTCGAATAAGGCCAATGTAGTAGAGAAACCAGGCAGGGAACAAGCCTCTCTAGGCAATGGACCCCAGGGCCATCTGTCTCCTGCTAAGGCAGCGAATCCATTGTTGACTGCCGCATCAGTCCAGAGTGTGGGTGAGGAGTCAGAGATAGGGGGGAAGAACATGGTGTGCCCATTCCAAGAAGTGAGGAAAGTGTGCCACATGCATAAATCGGCCGCTGCGTGTGTGTCTATCGAGGTGCGTGAGTCGTCAGAGTGAAGGTGCGGAAATAAAGCAAGTAACCGTGAAATCAAAGATCTAGCCCGGGGAATGATCCATATGGCAAAATTGAGAGACCTCAGGAGGGACTGGAGTTCCCTCGGTTGTAAGCATAATTCAGTGCTTGCTAAGGTACGCTCAATCTTGTCTCAGGGAAGACTTGCCTGCATGCGGACCGAATCTAGTTGAATTCCCAGAAAATGAATAACCATATCCGGGACTTCTATCTCTTTAGGGGAGACCGAAATTCCTAAGTGTGACAAACTACCCTTTGCCACTGGCTTTTGGAGAGGCCTGCTTGCCAGCCTCTTGCCCTGTGACCATGGCCCCTGGGGCAGGGTGGGAAGGAGATGGCGAGATCCCAACCAAGCTATGGTGATTCATAGTTACATAGCTGAAAAGAGACTTGCGTCCATCAAGTTCAGCCTTCCTCGCATATGTTTTTGCTTTTGATCCAAAAGAAGGCAAAAAAACCTATTCTGAAGCAACAAACTAGGAAATAATTCTTTCTTGACCCCAAAATAGCAGTCAGATGATCAAGCAGCTATTACCCCACCAATTAGAAATTA